AGAGTTGGTAAAAGAGGAAAATTTGTGTGTGTGTAAAAGAGAGAAATAGAAAGTTCAACTGTAAGTTGGAAGGAGATAGGAGGAATTGCGGTTTTAATCCTATTCCAAACATTTGCAGTACTTTAATATAATTTGTATTTTTATCAAAGTTTACTAAAAAAAAACGATGTTAAAATATTTGTAGCTGGGTTATTAATATGATATTTTATTATAAAATCCATTTCGTTTTCGACAAAAGTGCTTTTACTAATGTATTACAAATTTCTTCAAAAGTTAAGCAGTATTTATTAATTGGATGGGTGTTTTGGATGAAGGACCAAGTTGCGTGGGTGAATGGAATAAATCGTTGGGGTTTACTACCCTAATAATGATAACTAATTAATTGTACTATGGTTACTTAAGACTCTATACTGTAATAATGGTCTTCTCCATGCTTAAATCCTCTGACCTAAGCGTTCTTCATCAACTTCGTGGTGTTGCCACCTTTCATAACCACCCAAACAATGGGTGACTAAATGACTCACTTTTTCACTCTATAATACTATACTTTATAATTAAACAAAAAACTTAAACAACTTTTCTTATTGAAAATGTAACCAAATTAACAAGTTTTGTACTTTATAAGCTGTTTATTGATATTTAAAAAAACAAAACAAAAGTTAAGCAACGTTTACTATATAGAAAGGTGACCATTGTCTTATTGTTCACTTCATATTTAACATTTTCATAATGATTAATATTTTAAGAAGGTTTTTGTATTCTTACAATTCAATATTGTAGACTTTAATAAAGTTTAATATTTTCAGAAGTTTTTTGTATCCTAATTATAAAATTTAGTTAGTTAATAACGATTAATTAATAACTGCAAAATTAAAAAAGTTAAGCATAATTGAATGGGTGACTAAATAATTTATTGTACTTTATAATTATAGTACTATTATTTTTATCATATTTTAAGTAAATGATTATGAAATTGTAACTGTAGAAGCTTTATTTTACATATAAAAGACTTTTGTGAATAATCAAAGTTTTGTATCTGGTTTTCTTTTGGGGTTTTGGTTTGGATGAAAGTTTCTGGGGTGCGGTTGGAGCGCATCGAAATGGCGGTATTATCTCTGTCGAGGTTGCATCGCCTGAAACTTCATCAAATCTGCATACGGCCAGGAACTGCGCAAAAGGGCCGCAATGGTGATGACTATGACGATTGCCAGTGATTAGAATTTAAAATGGCCCTCCTCGATTACCGTCGTCTCCGGATGGTCTATTAAACGCCAGAACATAGCATTGCAGCGGAGCAAAAGCGCAGCATCTGAAAACGCATCAGAATATTTCGATGCTGATTGCATCAATAGTTAAAAGTTTTATATTTATTGATTTACTAAGACTAATTACTTTATAATGATGACAAATATTTGAAAATATACTTGTAGATTAACTAAAAAAACTTGTATTTCAATTTAAGAAATTATACTACATTTTACTGAAAATGTAAAAAACTTAAATTATTGAAACGTTAAGATCAGTTTGAAAAATTATTTTAAAATTAGCAAAAATTGTAAAACTAGTATTAAAATTGTAGAAAATAACAGAAATATAAATGAAATATCTGTACAAAACTGCATATTTCTTGATTCTTACTTTAGAAAACTTTGCTGCATTTTTGTGAAATTGTATATTTCGAAAGAACTTCATTAATTGTTATAAAAATGTGAAAGTAAATACAAAAAATATCACTAGCAAATACTAGAGAAAATTAAAATAGTAGAAACGTGTAGAAATGTGTAGAAATGTGTAGAAATGTGTAGAAATGTGTAGAAATGTGTAGAAATGTGTAGAAATGTGTAGAAATGTGTAGAAATGTGTAGAAATGTGTAGAAATGTGTAGAAATTTGGTGAATTAGGAAAAAAATGTAGAAATGTGTGAAAATAAGTAAAAATATATAAAATATGTAAAAGTTATTCTAAATGTGTAGGAATATGTAAAAAAATAGTTAAATGTATATAAATATGTAAAATTAGTTGAATTACTGAAATGTAGATCTTTGTATAGTTGACATAATTATTATTGTATGGAAATGTTAATTTTTTGTATGTAAAATTGGGAAAAAACAACCAAAAATGTGTAGAAATAAGAGAAAGAGTAGAAATAATAAGAATTTTTTTATTGAAATAATTAGATAATTACATAATTGCAAATGTTATTAACTCTTGTTAAATGAACTGAAACTATGGTGGTGACATTGACCAACCAATTAATAACGTTCCACAAGTACATTAACACAGGCAACTTATCGACTATTCCTGGTTTTGTCGTCTGAGAAACTGTGGGAAACTATCAAGTATTATGGTGGGTCTAGGAAGGTACTCAAAGATCCAAGACAGCTGTAGAATGGCTACTAAAGAGGGTCACGTAATTACGAGCAGACTTGTCGACTGCTAAAGTATTCCCTACGAAACAGAACAACGTAAAAAAAAAGTCCAATATAAAACTTGTAGTAAATTTTAATTGAAAAAAGACATAAATTTAGAAAAAAAATGTTATATTTACTAATTAGAATAAAAGATAATTTCTATAAAAACTTTATTAAATTTATAAGAAATTGATGACTTTTACAAGGAAAAATTCAATAAAATATGAATAATTGTTTCTTGTCTCTTAGCTCAACATTAATCATAAATAAACCCTAAATACTAAATATAAACATGATTTATATCATGCAAATAAAAGAAAATGTTTGTTTTTTTTCTACTTCTTTTAAATGAGAAGTGTTGTAAACATGGAATGAGTGAGTGAGAGGCGTCTTCATGTAAAGAAGCTTTGGCATTCGAGCGTGTAGAGTATATAGAAGCCACTTCGCTTTCGATCTCTTCAGTTCTGACGTTGACAAATTGACCTCATGAATTTATGACACATATCTGTGACAGCGACGCACTTAGATAAGGGCGTTTTGATAGTCGACCTACGTCAGGAATACACCGCAACTCCGGATGATCGGATGGAACAATTACTCATAATTATAGAAACGCACATTATTTACATCCTTCCACAGCAAAACCGAAAACATCTTCAGACATTCACGACAGATAATTAATAACGTTAAGAAATCATAAATACACAAAAAAAAAAACTTAATTTAATTATCAAAAATATTTTGATTTTGCAGAAACGATATAAAAATTCGTGATTTTTAAAATAAATTTAACATTTTGAGGTAATGTTATAAAAACATTCTTTAATTCTTGAAATATAATTCGTATAGTGCGGTTTCAATCAGTACGGTTTCGAAACTATATTTCAATTGAGAAAAATGAAAATAAATTCTAAAAAGTTAGTACTCACTTCTGTGAGGTTTTATAGTCCTTGATTAGTGCGGAACGGACAATGCGAGGTAATTCTGTATGATTTTTATTTCGATATAATAATTTTAAGACAAATCATAACATATTAAGACGTAATTTTATTAGGAAACAAGCAAATATAATTATTGGTTATCGAAATATTGACTTGATTAGTACGGTTTCAAATAGTGCGGAACTGATTACCCGGATTATGCGAGGTATTTCTGTATGATTTATTTTTTATTTCGATTTTAAGACAAAATTTAATATTTTGTCCTAATATACCAATAAGTTACTTAGGAAACAAGTAAATGTCGAAATATTGACTCGAGTAGTACGGTTTCAAATAGTGCGGAACTGATTACCCGGATTATGCGAGGTATTTCTGTATGATTTATTTTTTATTTCGATTTGAACACAAAATTTAACATTTTGTCCTAATATATCAATAAGTTACTTAGGAAACAAGTAAATGTCGAAATATTGGCTTGATTAGTACGGTTTCAATTAGTGCGGAACTGATTACCCGGATTATGCGAGGTATTTCTGTATGATTTATTTGTTATTTCGATTTTAAGACAAAATTTAATATTTTGTCCTAATATATCAATAAGTTACTTAGGAAATAACTAAATGTCGAAATATTGACTTGATTAGTACGGTTTCAAATAGTGTCACTAATTACCCGGACTATGCGAGGTATTTCTGTATGATTTATTTCTTATTTCGATTTTAAGACAAAATTTAACATTTTGTCCTAATATATCAATAAGTTACTTAGGAAATAACTAAATGTCGAATTATTGACTTGATTAGTACGGTTTCAAATAGTGTGGTACTAATTACCCGGACTATGCGAGGTATTTCTGTATGATTTATTTTTTATTTAGATTTTCAGATAAAATTTAACATTTTGTCCTAACATATCAATAAGTTACTTAGTAAATGTCGAAATATTGACTTGATTAGTACGGTTTCAAATAGTGCGGAACTGATTACCCGGACTATGCGAGGTATTTCTGTATCATTTATTTGTTATTTTAATTTTAAGACAAAATTTAACATTTTGTCCTAATATATCAATAAGTTACTTAGGAAACAAGTAAATGTCGAAATATTGACTTGATTAGTACGGTTTCAAATTGTACCATAACACGGATTATTCGAGGTATTCTGTATGATTTATTGTTATTTCTATTTAATAATAAGACAAAATTTAACATTTTGTCCCAATATATCAATTTAGGAAACAAGTATTTATAGAAAGGAAATTCACTAAATAATAGAAAAATTATTAATAATAACAACTCTCTTTTATTCTCGAAATATTTATGTATAATATAGAAAATAAGGAAATACAAAATACGATTCGAACAGGAACAAAAATAAATAAACAAAGAACAAAAAAAAACCAGTATAATTAACAACACATCCCACATTTATATCTTATTATAAATTACTAAATGTACTAAATCTTATTTACAAAAAAAAAAAAAATAAATAAAGGTGATTCGGGTTTGGAACATCCCCTGAACATCACCTGAAAGGCAGTTTTCACTTGGACCATAAGTTTTCCCTTCTTCAATGCGAATACAAATCTACACCCATTTCATTCTTAATTTAATTTAAAAACAACAACAACTACTCAACAATGTCTTAACTTTTTTTTCTACTCTTTCATCATTCAAATTGCGTAACTTTTATTTAGTAATCTTCATCGATTGATTGATTGATCCCGTCGTCATCTGTTGCAGCGACAAATGTATTTCAACGTGCTCACCGTTGTTCGGAATTTATGTATAACTTCCTCCTGAAACAATGAAACACGAATTACAACTGTAGATAAAAATCACAGATTTATTTACTAATTTATAATTTAAATTAGATTTAATTAAAAACAAGCGATTTGAACAATGAACTTTTGGATTGGTTTTCGCCTTTGTGCGAGATTCGTGCGATGGAGGATATTTTGAAAATAGTATAAAAAAAAGGATGAGGATTAATTAACTTCTGAACTGCTTTCTCATCGGGCTTGTATTATTATTATTCAAAGAGGCACTGGGAATTATATGCGGGCTTTTCATTTAGCTCCACGGCATTATAATTAAAGCTTCGCACATCAATTGAGAGAAAATCGAAGAATGAAAAAAAATAAAAAAATAAAACAAGAAGAAAACAATAGAAAAACAAAATGAGAATGAGTTTGAAATTGAATACACAATAAAAAGTTTCTGTTCATTACAATTTGCATTTCTTTCTGAGATTTTCCTGACAAATATCTGAAGTTTCCTTTGTAAATATTAAGAAATTTTTATACACAAAACAATATTAGAACAATTTTTTTTTGATTATAAATGAAAATTAGTGATGAAATTGGCACTTGAGTTAAAAAAATGTGTTAGAATACTCTGAAATTGTTAGGCGTTTATAAATATTGAAAGGATTGGAAGATTTATAACTTTACCTGCATGAGATTGAAACACATAGCGATTAAGGCCATTCCTAGCATAAGGTACATGGAGCAAAATATGAAGCTGAGCTCGATGTCGAATCCTTCGCCGGAGGAGTAAATCTTGTCGCCAGGAACTAAATCACCGAAGCCGATGGTGCTGAGGGAAATGAAACAGAAGTAGGAGCCGTTCAGCAAATCCCAGCTTTCATATTTGGCAAAGAGCATCGCACCACCAACGATGTACCTTTTGAAACAAAAACCCAAAGAAAAGTTAACTAAAACCCTTGGAATAATCACCATTCAACATTGATATTTACCCGACCATCATCGTCAAACATATGGTAACCGGAACTGTGATGGTCTGAGCATCGAAGGACTCCTCCGAAATATCCGTGACCGCATCATCATCGCTACCATCGGAAACCGGATGCTCATCGGAAAGCTGCAACAACAATTAAAGGACTTTTGACTTTAGCACTCGAATCGCTTTTATCTATTTACAGCGCTGTAACCTAATAATATTGGATAATGCAACGCCCCGAGAACAAAGCCAATTTAGCCTTTAATCCAGCAAAATCGCACGGCCGAAAGCGTCCATTTAGTCGCATTTCCATTTCGCGAAAAACAAAACAAATTGATTTTTCGTTTTTTTTTTCTTCTTTATTATTAGGGTTTCTAGGTTACGTTATTGATAGTTCTCTGCTGACCTGCCAATCCGGGACACCTCCAAGGCCGTACTCCATCTCGATCTCTTCGGCGCGCCGCCTTCGTCGCTCAGCTCTCCTTCTGCTCACGCCCGGACATCCCTTGCACAGGTAACAAGTTGCGTAGATCCATTTGAAGGATCTCGCCATTATGTCACCTATATTGGACAGGTACAAGAGGAAGAGCGGCATCCCGATGATCGCGTATACTATCGTAGCCACTTTACCCCACGCCGTCCTCGGAACTATATTCCCATAACCTAAAACATAATGAATGACATAAGCATTAGTACAAACGTCAAACAGTGTTCCTATCAACGTCATCAAACATGTGAAAACACTGCTGTTTCGAACGACATTTTTCATTTTTTCAACTCTGAACGTGAATTAAAGCCAAATCTGAAAACACTGCTTTTTTGAGAGATATTTTTTTAGACCTTGAACGCCAAATGCAGGAAACCACAACAATTTGTGAATACTTGATACATTCCAGAATCATTCAACTTTCATATTCATCTTTTGGATTCATTCAATCTATTATAGTTTCCGAGAAAATCACAAAAATATGAAAATATTACCTTTTTGAGCGTTATCTTTAATCTTTCGACTTTGAACTCGAATTACAGCCAAATGCAGGAAACCACAACAATTTTAATACTCGCTACATTTCCGAAACATCCAACTTTCATATACATTTTTTGGATTAATTAAATCTATTATAGTTTCCGAGAAAATCACTAAAATATGAAAATACTATCTTTTTGAGCGTTAGCTTTAATTATTCAATTTGAACTCAAATTACAGCCAAATTCCGGATACCACAATAATTTGTGAATACTTGCTACATTTCCAAAACATCCAACTTTCATATACATCTTTTGGATTAATTCAATCTCTTATAGTTTCCGAGAAAATCACTAAAATATGAAAATACTAAATTTTTGAGTGTTAGCTTTAATCTTTCGACTTTAAACTTGAATTACAACCAAATGCAGGAAACCACAACAATTTCTGAATACTCGATACATTCCCGAATCATTCAGCTTTCATATGCATCTTTCGGATTGATTCAATCTATTACAGTTTTCGAGAAAATCACAAAAATATGAAAATACTACCATTTGAGCGTTAGCTTTAATTTTTCGATTTGAACTCGAATTACAGCCAAATGCAGGAAACCACAACAATTTGTGAATACTCGCTACATTTCTGAATTATTCAGCTTTCATATGCATCTTTTGGATTAATTCAATCTATTATAGTTTCCGAGAAAATCACTAAAATATGAAAATACTAAATTTTTGAGTGTTAGCTTTAATCTTTCGACTTTAAACTTGAATTACAACCAAATGCAGGAAACCACAACAATTTGTGAATACTCGCTACATTCCTGAATTATTCAGCTTTGATATGCATCTTTTGGATTCATTAAACCTATTATAGTTTCCGAGAAAATCACAAAAATATGAAAATACTACCTTTTTGAGCGTTAGCTTTAATTATTCGATTTTGAACTCTAATTACAGCCAAATGCAGGAAATCACAACAATGTGGTGAATACTCTACATTAATTTTTACTTATTTCACGAAGATCCCGAAATTATTTTTATTATTTAAATTTTTCATGCGTCTTTGTAATATTAACTATTGTTTTTATTAATTTTATGCGTGTTTCTTCAAAGATTTTAAGAAGCATTTACATAAAGAAATTTAAATTTTGATTTAGTTCTTATACAATAATATAACAAATCGCGACTTTATTATATTCGATGAATACAAAGTAGATATATGCACGTGGAACGAAGTTTTCTCAATGTCTGCGGCTGAGAATTATACGATTCCTTTCATACGATCCAATAAAAATGTACGAAAACTGGATGATCTCACGGTTTTCACGAAAATCTGTTGCGGCGAAATGAATGGCAAACTAATAAATTTGTGGATGAGCGCGCGCGTCCCCTCTCAACATTCTCCCGAGCCGTGAACCGTATTGTCTTCTTGGCACACGAGAAAGGTTGATCTTTAAACCATAAATCTGTCCTCCCATTCGCAGATCATAATATTATGTCGACCAAAAAAAAATGATAAAAAGGGATAAAAGTGTTGGGAAAACCTAACAAATAACGTCCCGGAATTTATAGCGTTAAGGATAATTTAATAATGCGGAAAAGTAGTTTAAAATTAATCCGATTTTTTAATCAAATAAACCCGGATTAAAATTATCTCAAATTTTTATGCAAGCGTTAGGAATGAAGTGCATTAAATATGCTTTTTCCGTTGAAGTTACATGAACAAAAAAATGATTATATGATTGCGAGAGTCGACGTGAAATCGATGATATAGAGACTCGCTGCCGGTGAGAAACTAATGGAACGTAAATCCAATTGAAACTTAAGCCTAAAAGTTGAATTTCCTGATGGAAAGTTTTATTTTTTTTTTTCAGTGTGCGAGAAAATAACATTTTTTTTATCCAACAGAAATAATTCAATTCGATTTTAGCGAAGCGTTTATAAAATGGGGGATTACGGGATTCTTGCTCAAATTTTTCGAGGCGAAATGATGAATTCAGAGAATGGGTATATTCGAAACACATAATCGCGGTTCCCCCTTTAAGTTAATTAAAAACGACTGCGGCGGTTAATTAAACAATTTTACGTCTGCATTTCCTCGACCGAGTCAAGTGAATTCGTGCAATTACGTTCTCTCCTCTATTCTCATTTATACACTATTCCATTCATCTCGGATAGAGACGTGTCTTCTTTTTCCTTCATCATCGCGCGGCGAATGAATGCGGTGGTCCCTTTTAAATTAGTCTCTAATAAAAGTATAATTTGCATTTCGATGTTCTCGTTTCTGCGAGAGGAACTTTTTTGTTGAGAATCTGTTCTGAGGAGGAGAAGCAATATAAGATCATTAGCTTCGATGCTGCAGCACTCCACCTTTGCTGCTACATCGATCCCATTTACAAGACGTTCTCATGAGACTTTTGGGTGGTATTAATTATAAGCATTAAGATTAATATTGTATTATCCTCTTAAGTTCAATGAAGGATGAAGTTGTTGATATTAAGATATCAATGAATCACTTCAATCTTCTTAACCCTTAAGTATTATGGATGGGTCAGAGTGACCCATTCGCATTTTATTGTAATTTAATTGTGCAGTTTTCAGTAGGAGTAAAGCAGTCGCGACGTGATGAAGTTATTTTATTGTAGAGGTCAAATTGACCCGTCATTAGCAAATACGTTTTTGAAATTTCATCAATATATGTTTATTATATAATTTGATTTATCCGTAGTTATTGGAAGTTAAAATTGAAGGAAAAATATTAATTTAAGAGATTTTTGTGGAGACATTAATCTGCAATATATAGAAAATTAATTCCGCTAAGGTTTTTCAGTTTCTGTAAGGAAAGCGGATTATTTTTGCAAAGCTTTTATTTCTGAATCATTCAGCTTTCATATGCATCTTTTGGATCCATTCAATCTATTATAGTTTCCAAGAAAATCACTAAAATATGAAAATACTACCTTTTTGAGGGTTAGCTTTAATCTTTCGACTTTGAACTCAAATTACAGCCAAATGCATGTAACCACAACAATTTGTGAATACTCGCTACATTTCCGAAACATCCAACTTTCATATGCATCTTTTGGATTAATTAAATCTATTATAGTTTCCGAGAAAATCAGTAAAATATGAAAATTTCATCAATATATGTTTATTATATAATTTGATTTATCCGTAGTTATTGCAAGTTAAAATTGAAGCAAAAATATTAATTTAAGAGATTTTTGTGGAGACATTAATCTGCAATATATAGAAAATTAATTCCGCTAAGTTTTTTCAGTTTCTGTAAGGAAAGCGGATTATGTTCGCAAAGCTTTTAATGGCATCAGAAGGTCAGCGATTTACTTTCCATAGCGGCAAAAGTATGAGGAGAAAAAAAAGTTGTTGAAGCTTAATTAGCGATCGTCTGACTTGCTCTGTCTCGTTGAAATTAAGCTCAGTCTAAAACGTGTCCTTCGAAGAATAGAGAAGAAAGAAAGAAAGAAAAAAGATTGTCCATCCATCAAAAAAATAAAAGAACAGAAGAAAAACAACTGAAATTAATTACACTGTATGTCAACGATGAAAGTAAACTGCGGAGCCTTTTGTCCGCTCCGCGCTAAAAGGGGGGAGGACGAATCCTGTAAATCCCCAACCAAAATATTTATAAAAGCGGAGCTGCTGCAAATTAATGGTCCGAATTACTTGTATGAATAACATGTAGTGCGGCCTAATATGCACGTTAAAGCACAGAAAAAATAATAATGAAATGTTTGCTTTACAAAAGTTGAGAGAGAGAGAAGAAAAAAATATATTTATATAGAGCAAAATTTATAAATAAAAGAGTTACGTAAATGCACATAGGAAGAATGAATTGCTTTGCAAATTAATTACGTCTGAAAAGTGGGGTATTTCTCTTTCTCTCGTGCATGCACACTCTTCTTCGTGTTTGCGTAATAATTCGTTGCCCCAACTACAAAATCCATAAATTACGGGGAGACAAACAAGGCGAAAAGAGGGGGACGCACGTAGAGAACCCCCCTCAAACACAATTAATCACTATTAATGATCATCATATGGCGACGATACAAAATTTCAGCCAGACGAAACCAACAGAAAAAAAAAAGGAATAATTTTATAAATGTATGGAGAGAAAAAAAAAATAATGGCATGCATCAGCGAAATTCTGATTTATCCTGAAAGAAAATGAAGGCCGAGTGTAAGAGCAGACGTATAAATTATCAGTTGTTGTTTTTTTTTATTTTAACTATAGCTAATGTTTGTTTATGGCGAGATTTATTATGTGCAGTTATTACGACATCAAATAGTTCGTCATATATATATATGGTATTATATGTATGTATTATATATTTCAAAAATGTACTTGATTGAGAGAAATTGTAGCTAAAAAATAAATCTGAATCTGCCAATTTGAGTATCAACAAAAATCTTAAGAAATTTTCAAACTAAAATCAATTTTGAGTCTTAATACATTAAAATATGAGATGTATTTAACAAAAAAAAAATAATATTTATCACAATAGGTCAAAGGATTATGTCTACAGCAGCGGTTCTCAACCTATGGATCATGACCCAAAATTGGGTGACATTAAATTTTCAATAGGTCATATAATGACAGCTGTCACCTTACGTCAAATCTAAAATGCTATGTTAGAAACGTCATGTGTCAAATTCAATATTTGCATCTAAATTTTGAGTCTGAATACATTAAAATATGAGATAAATTTAACAAAAAAAGGGATATTTATCAAAATAGGTCAAAGGATTATGTCTACAGCAGCAGTTCTCTACCTATGGAACATGACCTAAAATTGGGAGGCATTAAATTTTCAATGGATTATATAATGACAGCTGTCACCTTACGTCAAATGTCAAATGCTATGTTAGAAACGTCATATGTCAAATTTAATATTTGCAGGGCAACTGCAGCCTAAATATGTTGGGTCACGTAGTAAAACGGTTGAATAACGCTGATTCTAAAGTATAAATCAAATAAACGAAGTACATTACCCGGATTGTTTAAAACCGTACTAATCAAATATTACAAAACCGCACAAAGAAGAAGTGTCTATACAAAGAAGAAAAACAGATCATATAGAAGCCAAACTATAAAAGATATTCTTAAAGTAATAACTAAACTATTTTGTTTTTTAATCCAGAAAAATGTAATTTTTAGAAAAATACTCATAACTTTTCTAGTTTGAAATTAACAAATTTAAGCAATGGAATATTACTAAAGATGTAGTCACATCAACTAATGAACCAAAGATAATGTTACAACAAAAAGTAGACGAAACTAGATTTTCTTTCTTTTATTTGCTCAACGATTTTTTAACTTTATTTTCATCTTGTAAGCAGTGAGCATTCAGATTTATTTCGGTTTTTTGAGTGATGGACGAAAGTTGCCCAATTTCCGTACGCAGATTTATCGTATTTTTAAAACAAACTCTTGGTAATCCTCGAAGGAATGGAGCAGACTGGAGGTCTTCGTTCGCTTCTTCGTTTTCTTTTTTTCACTCTCTCCATAAAGGGAGAGAGAGTGAGAGGAGACTTTTTTCCACAGAGATGCTACTAATTGGGGAAACGCACAATAAAGAGTAATGAAAGAGCTCACGTCCGAGGCAATGAAGGCGTCCCTGAAAAACGAAGTGCACTTAAAATAATGCGATTATATTTTGCATTTACGTAACGCGTTGTCCTTCTTCAGAATTCCCTCGCATACATTTATTATTATTATTATACTTCATATATTCATTTTATTTCAAATATTACATAAAATTGTATGTTTACTATATTTTACATGTATTAGTTTTGTGACATCATTAGTTCATTTAATTTTATATAATTTAAATATCATACATATATTTTGTGTCTAAATGACAGCTGTCACCTTACGTCAAACGTCAAAAATTATATGTTGTAATTGGACAACCTAAATATGTTATGTCGCGTAGCAAAAAAAAAGTTTAGCAACTCATTACATAATAAAATAATATAACTAAATATTAACAATAAATGAAAATTCTAAACACGTGAAATAAACAGAATTATTTAGTATAAAAGACCAAAAAAAAGAACATATGTTTATTGTAAATAACATTAAACGATTTACCAAATTTTATTGCACTACTTTTGTATGTCTTTCCTCGATTTTCAAATAATGTTCCTCGAACTTTAATTACCTAGTTCTGCGGCTCATATTTGTTTGCTTCCTGTGTGATCTATTTTAGTAACAGGTCGACCTATTTTATGTACGTCTTTATACACCTTTCCTAACCGTTCCATTTCCACACAAATTGTTTGTATTGATTTAAAAAATTCGAAATTTCATATATTTTCATTTACTTTTAACAAAATTTTCATTTTCTTGATGCATTTTAATACACATTTTTATTGTTAAATCAATCAATTAAACACATGATATATAGAATTTAGATTTATTTTTTTCAAATTTCTAAAAATTTGATAACGTTTTCTCATTTTGTTTGTTTTTTTTTCTGTACTTTTGAAATATTCTAATAAACTTTTTTATTGCTTTATGATCTAAGCACATGATCTGTATTGATTTACAAATTCATAAAATAAGTTTTAAATTATGTTAACTTCATTAAATAATAAGTATAAGTCTGTGTTTGTTGTAAAAATTATTAATTTCTTCGATTTTTTAAAAATTTGTACACGGGTCATTTTGACCCATGTGTAGTACTTATATTATATTTCTTTGTTAACATTAATTATTTCAATAATATAAATATATAACTTGTACAGAATTTAAATGAAATATTTCTATTAATCCAAAAATATTGTGTTTTATTGCCTTATTCCATCAAATTTTATTATTTTTAAAATAATGAACGATCTACATGCACAACTCATTAAATCTCAAAGAAAAGATAACAAAAAAAAAGTCGTTACGCAACAGCGAATAAAAGGGCACACAAAAAAAACCTTGCCTTTATCAGCATTATACCTTTTCTAACATCAACCATTCATTATGTTCATTCCTTCCGAAAGAGCAGATTAATCTTCACTTTATATTTATTGTTGAATACGAAAAAAATTGCATTTTGTTATATAAGAAAAGTAATAATTAATAGAAAATAATGAAGGAATTTTACTTTTTTGTTGATCTTGAACTACAAAGAAATATTATTAAGTTTATCAATAAAACTAATTAGGATATTATTAAGATTATAAATAAATAGTTGGCCATAATTTCAGCGTATTTATTAATATTTATTATTACAGCATGAATTTCTCTGTAAATCTACAGGAAACTAGCTTCTCAAATTCGAACGTCTGAAACCGTTGAATCTACCTTTAAGATTTGATTAATGCCACCTGCAGCAAAGTACACTTTACTCAATCACGTGACAAAGGGAAATTGCGATCGTGCACTTTCCAGCAACTGTCAACCTAAGACATGAATCACCATAGCAATTCGTACATAACATATTTATTACATAAGCAAATTATTTCCATTTATTTCAAGTATAAATATTTAATATTTTCATTAACTGTGAAAACGATTGCGAACAAAAAATATGTGATGCGGAAATATGAAAATTATCGAAACAATTTGATAAATCGCGCGCACGAATTCATTAATTCATATATTATAATTATTAAAACAAGTTTTAAATTAAATATCTGTAAAATTGCATTATGAAATATTAATTACCAATTATTAATTATAATTATTTTGCATTTTCCAAAATCCGAAACATTTTATTTATTTATTTCCTTTAATTTTCAATTTCATTTTGTTAATAATTTTATATACAAACAATTTTTTGTAATTTAATGAATTGTAGTTAATAAATCAACTTTAAATAGAAGCAAAACTCTTGTTTCTTTTAAAATATTGATGTTTTGTAATGTATAATTTTTTGTGTACAAACTTAAGTTTTTAACTATTTAATAATGAGAAATGTGATGAAGATTTTCCAAGAAATATCATTTTTTACAATTTTTTAACAAATATTTTTGCAAATTTTCTACAACATTTTAAACAACTAGACAATAAAGCTTTCTCAATCTTAAAGTGCGTTTCATAATGCATTTGATAATTGGAAAAGTATTAAAAAAAATAAACAAAAATTAAAGAAATTTTGTCATTATTATAATAAAACTACTTTAAGAAGAACGAACATTCTTGTTTGAAGTATTGATGTTTTTTAATTTATATTTTGTTGAGAATAAACTTAAGATTTTAACTATTTAATAATGAGAAATCTACTTATCTTATTATCAAAAAAAATCATTTTTTACAATTTTTTAACAAACAATTTTGCAAATTTTCTATAAAATTTTAAACAACTGGAAAATGAAGCCTTCTAAATCTTGAAGTTCGTTTCATAATTGGAAAAGTATTGACAAAAAAAAATACTAAAATTAAAGAAATTATGTATTTATTGTAATAAAACGACTTTAAGAAGAAGGAAAATTGTTGTGTAAAATATTGATGTTTTGTAATTTATATTTTGTTCTGAATAAACTTAAGTTTTTAACTATTTAACTATTTCATTTGATAGCTTTGGATTAGAAAGAAATCAAATGAATATGTGTTATAGTTCCAGATATGAAAATGAGTGATTATTTATAATTCCACAACTGAAAAATTTCATCAATTGTGTAGCTGTATTACGGATGTTGGTAATGAAGAATCCGGCGGGAAATTGATTCCGGGGGAAATATGCGCAATGCCGGAATTATTAAGTCATTCTGGGGAAAAATCTCCGGTTGGATTTCTCGCCGGAAATGGATTTTTCTCACCCCATACGTATTTGGAGAGTATTGTTTAGGTTTTGCGGGTGTGAGTTTTCCACCACCCCATGCAGCTTTTGTATCTGGTGATCTATGGCCACCGAAGCCGGTGTCAATGGCTATAGGGCAATTCTGCATCCAATTTATCACTTTTAGCATTAAAACCTTAAACAAAATCCCAATAATCCGAGCGCGATTAATCAAAATTTATCATCTAACTGATGAAGACAGTTTCCGCGATGCCTGAATTTCCTTTCATTTTATTTTCCTTACCGATGGTGGTGATAACCGTGAGGGAATAGAGGAATGCACCGGAAAAGCTCCACTGCTTGGAATAATCCGTGTCGTCCGTTCCGTCGTATCCATCCCTGCAAAAGTAAACGAGAAAAGAAAAATGTAGAAGATTATCGCGACTTCGCAAACAACTCTCGGTTAGATCTACCTTGAAAGGATGGAAACTGGAGCGAGCGCATAAAGTTCATCAACTTTATGTACCTCTTTTCGAGAGTGTACAGCTTTTAAACCGCTAGTGAAAGAAGCCAACAATATATGTAAATTGTGCGGTCTTTCGCATGATATTTCAGTATTTCCGCGTTCCTTTCTAATATAGATGTAAATTAGACAAAAAAAAATGTAAACAAATGCAATTACCCGGTGCATCCACCATTGTTTTAAATCTAATTTTTCATGTCCAATATTAATGTGTGTGATGTGCATAGTTTACACGACTAATATGTGTTGTTTCACAAGTAATAATACAAGTAATTAATCTTCAGTTAAAAGCCACGACACACTAAACGTTACATGCAAGAAACTATTCATCCCATAACATTTATCAAATACACAGGTTTGTATAATACTTGTATTAAACACAGTTTAATTGTCAATTATCTCTCAATCTACTTTACTCATAACATTAATTATTTCACTATTTGAAATTTTCATAAAATATCTTAAAAAATAGACATTTTTATTTGCTTTTATTTAATAATTATATAATTTTGACCAGAAATTGGCACAAAATTACAAATATATATAATTTTTCTTATTATTAAAATTAATTACATGCCCTAGTAATATTTCATGCCCTAAAGTTTGAAATTGATATTTCTATAATTGGTTTATATAACTCAATAAGTTCGCAGTATGACATACAGATGGCGCCTCTATCGACAAATCCATATGATTTTTAGGAAGCACCAACCTTCAGACGACGTCTGTCAAATTTTCATAACAATCTGAAGTTTAGTTCACAAGTTACAGTGGTTTTAGTAATTTTCAAAACAATGGAAAAACAAACTTATTTTGTTTTATATGTTTTTATTTATACGGAAAGACAATAAACCTTTATAAATCCCCAAGAGATTAGCTTTGATTTGTATATTTACTCTTCGAAATGGTGAAGATTTTTCCAATAAATTCACTGGTAATGCATGAATTTAATTGAAAAAATATTACTTTTATGAAAAAATTATATTTTTTGTTCTATTTTTTTTTTGCATTTTTAATTAATTATTATATAAAAATATCAATGAAACTTTGGGAAATAATTAAAATGTTATTAGTTTTTGAATAATTTGATTTAATTTTACATTATATTTTACAATTTTAATTTACAAATATAAATCTTTCAATATAAAGTACATTTAATATCCACAAACAATAATATTTGATAAATCAGAAATGTTATTGTTTCAAATATTTCAGTTATTGATACTTTTGAGTTAAATATATTTGTGAAATTGTAAAACGCATTTCACATTCATCCTGTAATTATTACATAAAACTGTCAAATTTTGCGAAATATTCCAAATTTTCACATGTTGTAAACGATTACCTTTCATTTGCATATATACAGCTCGAATTCATCCGAAATATACAAACATCATAAATACAATATCAATTTCTAAATTTCGCAAATTGATAATTATTATTTAAAATAATTTGCTAAAACCATATTTCACCAAATAACCATAAATAACAATATTTCTTAAATCTGAAATATAATTAGTTTTGCTTGATTGTTACTTGAAATTGTGGCCTAAATTTTAATTGAAAATGTATCTGAATGTTATTGCAATCCGTCGATAAAATTTGTGGAATTATCGAATTGTATTTATAAGTAACTATTACATAAAACTATGGATATTAATGGAATTTATCAACATTTTAATGGATTGTAAATAGAATCATCATGTAACAAGTTTTAATAAAATACGTGCATCGATTGCGGTGGATGCGCCGCGTTATTTTGGTAATTCGTGCGGTAAAACTGTGCACAATGTTTTGTTGGATTCTTGATTTAATTGCCTGCAGCGAGTAAAACTAACTCACTCACTCGCTCGATCCCGCCCTTCATCCCTTCATTTCCTTCCTTCCTTCACCCCTTTTCATTTCCTCTTTACCTTATAGCATCCACTGCGAAACTCTGGTAATCCAGAAGGATTTGCGACACGTTCCTCATCCACGTCTCCTTGTCTAGCACGTTCGTGGTGTACGTCAGATTCCAGAAACTCGCGGCCGTCTGTTCACGGTTTTTCGCTATGTTCGTGGTGTGCGGTTTCTCAGCGCTACCCTCGATCTCCATGAATATAAAGGCACCAGCTATAGCATAACCAACCTTAAAAAAAAATAAAGAAAAAAACAATACTTTAAGAACAATTTATTTCATCTAATTATTACTAAATACTTTCATGCCTTGTAGTTTACAAGTACCAAGAGAAGTCCATATACTTGTATAGTTAACTATTATACTTGAAAAGCTATAATCCGTATTTATCAAGTACTTGGAAAAGTCTAAGTACTTGTGAATTAAGCTATGATTGTCATAGGAATTAGGCACATTTCGCAAATACTTGACAAGTATGGAAATACTTTTTATCGTCAATTCACTGCAATTCTTAAATACATATAATTATGAATTAAGCAATCGTTATTATGTTCGCATCTCACAAATCACGTCATGTCACGTTAAGTCACGTCATTTTTGCAACAATATCTATTTTTAATATGATTAAGACATTTTCTTTTATAATTTAATAAAATTTTCAAATGAAATTAAAAATCTAACTTGATTAAGCTGATGATGACCAATCGCATTCATTGCTTGCAGTTTTCAAATGTTTTCTCTTTATGTGCAAGAATATAGCGTTAGTAATGCGAAGAAAATAAACGCGCAATCGGTAAAACAGGAAACGGCGGTGCTTCCAGAAGACGCATTAAACAGTGAGCGAAACTTCGGCCCTAAAAACTGGGGCCCTTAAACTATCGAACTTTGTTTATGAGGAAACACTTAAAAGGCGTAAGTTTCAAGATTTAATATATATATATATTTCTTTTTTTATTTTATTCTGTTCCAACACTTCGCTGAAAAAAGAAAGAAAGTTGAAGGGTTTTACGCTTTTCCCAGCGTATGTTATATAATTTTTTGAACGATCCTCTAAATATTTTAGTACACAATTTAGTATTTGTGTATTTTATAGTTGTGACTGTATTTTCATATATAATTTTCTTAAGTTGAAAAGCTTGTAATTATTTCCTTTGTAAAACTAATTGAATTCTTTTACATTGTATTGATGAAAATAACTGTTTTCAGAACGTTTATAATATGTTCTACAAAATTTGTTCAAAGTGTAAAATTACAATATTTTATTCAAACAGACATAACTTTAACTTTGAAAGCTTTTTCTTACATTAGAATAATCTTTAAGTTATTTCCTTTTTCCTTCTTAACAAATTTATTTTAATTTATGTACCCTAACAGAAGTAATTTAAAATTCTAAATACGTTTATTACACATTTTTTGTCATTATATTTATTCACTTCTTTCACATTTCGAATTGACACAAAGATACACATTTTACGTCATTCTTACCAACTATTATTCAAACTTATATGTGTATATATACTAACTTTATGCTATGTGTGACGTGATGTGCCTTAGACGTGTATCATATCACGCATAATATGGTTAAAGTATTAGAATAAACTCTATATATTTACTGAAATTATGATAATAAATGGTAGTTGTTACTCATGACGTGACATGTCTCGTAAAACGCATAGTGTGATTGCAACATATGATCAAATTCCATAGATCACTACATTTATTATAGCAAATAGTTGATGCACGTGACGCGACTTGGCGTGTATCATATCACGTACAGTATTAGAATAAACTCTATAGATTTAATGAAATTATGATAATAAATGGTACTTGTTACTCGTGACGTGACATGTCTCTTAAAACGCATAGTGTGGTTGCAACATATGATCAAATTCCATAGATCACTACATTTATTATAGCAAATAGTTGATACACGTGACGCGACTTGGCGTGTGTTATATCACGTATAGTATGGTTACAGTATTAGAATAAACTGTATAGATTTACTGAAATTATGATAATAAATGGTACTTTTTACTCGTGACGTGACATGTGTCTTAAAACGCATAGTATGGTTGCAACATAAGATCAAATTCAAATAGTTGATGAACGTGACATGACTTGGCGTGTATTATATCACGCATTGTATGGTTGCAGCATTAGAAGAAACACTATGGATTTATTAAAATTATGATAACAAATGGTATAGTGTGGTTACTGTATAAGAGGAAATCTGTATATTCTGTAAATTTATGATAATCAATAGTACTGACATGCGTGACGTTACGAGTCATCTGTCACGTATAATATGGATTAAACAAAACAAAAGTAACTACATTTCTATCTCATTAAACTGTCAGAAATGAAATAAATTAATAATCAGTTGCGTGTTTAGATTAATTTAATATGTTTACAGTTTTCATAATTGTAATGAAGAACTCTCGATAATAAGAGATATTTTGAAATTGGAAATGTTACGCAAGTTTCCCGTCTCGATGATGATGATGTTATTAAGGGATGGATATTGTAGTATGAAGACGATTACATTCGCTGGAGTGTAAAGTCATGAGGAATGCGTTCTTGGATAATTTTAATCATACAGTTCGGATATCCTGTTGGGAGTCGGAGCGGCGTGAGTATCTTATCTCCGGTGCAAAGTGCAAATGGAATGCAGATGCATGTCGCATTAAATATGAACCGTCTTCGGTAGTTCTGCAGTCCTCCTCTTCTATTCTCGTTGCGCAAGTAGTCGCAACAGCAACAGCAGAATTGCAGCTGCCTGTACGTATGCATGTTTATGATTAATGCAAATTGGCTCACCACAAGTCCAATGATTCCGACATTGCTGAACATGAATGCGATGAAGTTGCGGATGCAGTCCTTGATCTTCTGCGCGAGGGGCCGCTCGGCGCGCCGCCGCCTCCGCAGGGACCGCTGCCGCTCCATCGCCGCCGAATCCTTCCGCCCTTCACCCGTCCACCACCCGTCTCTAGGACATTGCAGACCTCTGGGGCTCCGTTACCCTCTTGTCGAACTTGTAACGGTACCTCCTTATCGCCTTCTTCATTTTTGTCACCTAAAGAACACACAGAAACACACATCAAGTTACAACATTACACCAGAACATAACCGAACTAAACTAATTTCATACAAGATAAGTTTCATTAACAATACCGAGATTAAGACACAATTAAATGTTATGAAATTGAAATGAGAATGAAAACAAAGACGAAAACTAAATATACAAATATTGGATATTTTATATTGTAAAATTAATTATTTTTTTAATTTAAGAAAATTGAGTAATGAAAAATTTCAGACATTATCATGAAATATTATATTTATTTAAATAAATATTACAAAATATGTATTTTGATTTCAACATTTAAGTAATTATAAATAAAAACACAGAAATTATTAGAAGAATTTGATGAAGTAAAGTTAAGAGATTTACTCAGAATATTATAAAATATTGAAAATCTAATCTAAAAATGAATGAAAACTATTGAAAATCACATTCTATAATCAATATTTGTCTTTTATGTTAAATAAAATATTCCAAATAATTTTCTTTTATCATACAGGTTCCAAAAACAATTAAGATTTTATGTTATTATTGGTTATCTTTTTATTGTTTTATATATATATGAAATAATAGAATAAAAAATACGAGAATTACAAAGAATCTTTTTCAAACCAAAATCTATTAAAAAATAACAAAAATCTAATTGAAAACTGTATGGAAACCATTGAAAAATCACTGCATCTTTATGTTTGCTTAATAACTATTATACAAATTATAAAATTAATAAGAAATTTGAAAATCTCATTCCAAAATTATTGCTTCTCATTAGTTTAAGATATAACTTATTGCTAAATTTAACTTAAACATTGAAATTCATGAAGACTTAATATTATTAATGGTTGTTTTTCTATTACTTTATTTCATAAATCTATTTATAGATATTTTCTAATAATAAAATTACAAAAAAAAAGTACAAGAAAACTTTAGAAATTTACTCAAAAACTTTTCAAAACAAAAATATATTAATCTATGAATTGATGAAAATAATTGAAACCATAATTCAAAATCGTTTGTCTTTTGTTTGCAAAACTTGTTATTGGTTATATTTTTATTGTTTTATATATCATTTGTTATAATAATAGAATAAAAATTACGAGAATTACAAAGAATCGTTTTCAAACCAAAATCTATTAAGAAATAACAAAAATCTAATTGGAAACTGTATGGGAACCATTGAAAATCGTATTGGAAAATCACTGCATCTTTATGTTTGCTAAATAACTCGATTAGTCCGTTTTGTTCAAAATGAAATTCTAAAGCATTTCGTTTTATTATAAAAATTATAAAATTAATAACAAATATGAAGAGATTTGAAAATCTCATTCCAAAATATATTAATATATTTTGAAAATCTATAAATGGATGAAAACAATAGAAACGTTAATTCAAAATCGTTTGTCTTTTGTTTGCAAAATAACTCGATTTGTCATCTTTTGTTAAATTTAACATTTTAAAATAATAAAATTAAAAGAATTTAGAAAATAAAACTTAAAAAGTTTACTCAAAAACTTATCTCAACAAAAGTGTATTAATACATTTCAAAAATCTAATCTAAGAATAATGAAAACCATTGAAACACTTAATAAGATTAATTTTTGTTCATTTTTTCCAAGAATATTAAGAAGAAAACTTAAGAAATTTACAAGATAATTGATCTAATATACGAAATAATGAAAATTGCGATTAGTCCTCTTTACTATATATAACATTTAGTTTTTTTATATTCAAATTTTAATTAATCATTATTATAATGTTATAATCCTTTCATTAACAAAACTTATTCCAAAAACTTCTTTCATTTTGTTAAAGAATTTTCTAAAATAAATATTTGTCCTGAAGAAGAACGAGTATATTACGAATGCGTATGACAAGTATGTAATCGACGTCGGCTCTTTGTTGGCGGAGAATCCGAAACTCGCGGTATTCGAGCGTAAATTCGAAGAATTTCATCAACGATTTATGTAAGCCCGTTATTATCTCGTTTCATTAAACGGCAGTTCCAGTTAAACGCTGTAGTTCCGGTTTTGCGTAATTCCCGTATTGCGTGCATTCGTTCTCGTCACACGTAAATCAAGGCCCGCAGATGATGATTTTATTTTAATACGAACACGATTTATGGCTTTATGCAACATCAATAATTTCAACATTTCAACATCAACAACAACAACAAAAAAATATATAATCCGAGCAAAACGAAAAGCCTTTGGTTAAAAGGGGCAAAAACATGATGATAAGGGTACACAACAAATAAAAAAAATGATTACATGTGAGGAAATTAATGAAAAAAAAATATCTTTGTGAATTTTAATAACGCGTTAATATTTGAGCAGAAAACGCAGGAAAAATGTATTAAAAAATATATATATAATGCACAGGACGAAGATATGCGTGCACGTTTTAAACATGTATGAAGCAGAAAATTGAAATTCGTCCCTTTTTTTTTCTTCCCTCCGTGCATAATTCCGGAACTTTAGTTCAAAAAAAACCGGTTAAACTAAATAAAAATTCTATATTAATTACGGTTTTAAGTAAGTCAAACTTACAATGTGTATTAGCGAAATGCGGAGAGATTGAAATGCATTGCGATGATATTTCGAAGGGAGTCGAGTCAGGCTAATTGGTTTCTCTGCCGCCCTCGGTTTTTCGTTGAAGATGAAACTGAAACGGGGGATGGCGAAAATAAATAGCTGAAATCCCGTATACAGAAAATGATTAGAGCCTCATCTCTCTCTCTTTCTCGCAGTCTTACGACAATATTTATGTCGGTTTAATTAAAGTTTGCGCAAAAAAAAATAAATATTATGTGTGTATAGAGGAGAAGAGAAGAGAAGAGAAGCTATGTGTATACGTATGGTGGCGGGTCTTTATTAATATTAACTTTTCGGGTAGCGGCTTTGCACAAATATCTTGGGATTAGTTCCATCCGCAACTTAAATGTAACACGCACATTCCGCACACGAAACATTCATTTAAGTTGCACAGCTTAATTCTAATTCAAAAACTTGCGCAAATACATTTGATATTTGCATTCGTTTTATTTGTTTTTTGAATTTGTTTTTATTCAAATTTTGTTTATAACTGTTAAATATAACTATAACTATAATAAGCTATATAAATATAACTGTTAATTATAACAAATTAACTTCAAGTTTCCAAACTGAAATATTCATTCATAATTGCAATTTGTGTAAATACACACGATATTTGTATTCAAAAACAATAGTTTTCATAACTTTCGGTTTTACAAAACAAAAGTTGTTTTTTCTTTCATTATATGTTAAGTCAACTTCAACATTCCGAATTTAAGTTGCGCAATTTGCATAGGTTTTATTTTGATTTTTTTAAATTATGTCCTCATTATAACTTTTGCTGTTCTCATACAAAAGATAACTTTAATGAAAAGTAATATCAATATAAAAATCTATTTTCTATTTTCCAACTCTATTTTCTATAGCTTCGATCCTCAATCTTTTGTTTAGTTTCTCGTTTTGACATAAGATGACAGCTGTCTTTTTGTGACACAACATACTTGTTTACTGCAACCCATTTGCTAAGAGTATATCATAAGTTTCTCGCTTTGACACAAGGTGACAGCTGTCATTTTACGCACCAATGTATTTGTTTGCAGTTGTACTGCGATTCAATTGCCAAAAGTATTTCACCTCTTTGCTTTGACATATGGTGACAGCTGTCATTTTGCCACCCAACTTATATGTTTGCAGTTGTCTTACAACCCAATTGCTAAGAGTATTTCACCAGTTCAGACAGCTGTCATTTTGTGACCCAACTTATTTTTTACTGCGATCCATTTGCTAAGAGTATATCATAAGTTTCTCGCTTTGACACAAAGTGACAGCTGTCATTTCGCAACCTAAAGTATTTGCAGTTGTACTGCGACTCAATTGCTAAGAGTATTTCACCTCTTTGCTTTGACATATGATGACAGCTGTCATTTTGAGACCCAACTTATTTGTTTGCAGTTCTCCTGCGACCCAATTGCTAAGAGTATTTCACCAGTTCATTGCTTTGACATATGATGACAGCTGTCATTTTGCGACCCAACTTATTTTTTTACTACGATCCATTTGATAAGAGTATATCATAAGTCACTCGCTTTGACACAAGGTGACAGCTGTCATTTCGCTACCCAACATGATTTTTTTAAATTATGTCCTCATTATAACTTTTGCCGTTCTGATACAAAAGATAACTTTAAGGAAAAGTAATATCAATATCAAAGTAAAATATTTGTACTTCATTTCGATAGGAAATTAATACGGAGAGATCAAATTCAAGTTGGAAATAAAGACAAGGAAACTTTGATAATTTTATACTTAAAAACTGAAAGTAAGCCATTACTTCAACTTAGTTTTTATAAGACAAAATGATGCAAGACTAGGCGAAATTTCTTTAATAAAACTACGTGATTTCTGATTTAGTTTCAAGAAATATTTTCAGCACCATTAATCGGCAGAGAATTTTCGTACTTATAAAATTATATATAACTATATTTGTGTGTATGAGTGAGAGAGAACAGGATATCCCGTGGTAAACCAAACCTCCGAAAATACATTTTCGTACAATTTTAGGCTCGTAAACAATACTAATGCGTCCGAGAAGATTGATAATCTAATCGGAAAATTGGTTTGGCGCCAAAGCGAGGTCGCCTGGATCCCCCAGTATACCGTTTTCCGGCAGCTCCGAGAACCAAATGGAAAACGTTTTTGGGGAAAACTTGGCAAACACGCAACAATTTTCCATCCGAAACGGGAATTATAGAGACGAACAGGAACAACAACAATTAGTTGAAGCTCTGTTAACAAAACGGTCGAGCTAATATTTTCGTTGTCTCGTGGCGTTAATGGATAAGTAAACTATGCAATTTCTGAGAACCCGAACTACACCACAAGAAAACCAAACTTTCGCAAAGTTTGATTATTCGTATTTGCTAACATTAAGCTTCTACTACGCTTCTCATCGCTATAAATTAT